TGCCAGGTGGGTGCAGGGGGGTGTTCCCACCCCACATGGCCGCGTGGCAAATGACCACAACCGGGTGGCTTAAAACAAGGGAAATTTACTCTCTCACAGCTCTGGAGGCCACAAGTCCAAAGTCAGGGTGTCGGCAGGGCTGGACTTCCTCCAAGACTCTAGGGGAGGAGACTTCCTTGCCTCTTCCAGCTTCTGGTGGCTCCAGGCACTCCGTGGCTTGTGGCTGCCTCATGCCAGTCTCTGCAGCCACGGCTGTCTGCTCTCTTTGTCTCTTGTAAGGACACTTGTGATTGGGTTTAGGGCTCACCCAGGTAATCCAGAATGATCTCATCTCAAGATCCTAAATTTAAGCACATCTGCAAAGACCATTTTCCCAAACAAGGTCACTGTCACAGGATCCAGGGGTTAAGATGTGGACATATCTTTGGGGACACCATTCACCCCCCCTGCGTGGTGTCTCTGGCACTTGACAAGAGCCCACTCAGGGCCCGAAGCGCACCGGTGTTGGGCTCCTGGGCCAGATGCCTGCAGGTTTCCTACTCTGTCTCCCGCTCTCTGCCCCTCGATTCCTAGAATCAAGGGGCAGAGTGTGTCTCTTAGCGTGTGTCTCTCCCGGGCCCCCGGACCAACCTCTCCACACTCTGTCCACAGGTTTGCCGGGCACTGCTCTGGACCTGGAAAAGAGAAAGCAGATTTTTGGGCAAAACTTTATACCTCCAAAGAAGCCAAAAACCTTCCTGCAGCTGGTGTGGGAGGCACTGCAGGATGTCACGCTCATCATCTTGGAGATCGCTGCCATCATCTCCCTCGGGCTGTCCTTCTATCACCCACCCGGCGAGAGCAACGAAGGTAAGACGGGGCCTCCAACCCGCTCCCCACCTGCCACGAGCATGCACAGCTGACCTCAGCCTCCGTGCTAAAGGGCAAAGGGGCTCACGGCAGCCACTCCTGCCAAATGAGGAAACTGAGGCCTCAGGGGTAAGGCCTTGCCCCCAGCCAGTGAGTGGCCAAGCCAGGCCTCGGCCTCGGAGCCCCCAGCCCCCAGTTTTCCCATGTGGGAAATGCAAAGGATGGACCAACAATGGTAACAATTACAGTGAGCATTTATTGAGCCTTTACAGTGTGCTACGCTCGAGGCTATGTCCTCCCAACAGCCCCTCGAGGTAGGAGCCATGGTTGTGCCCATTTTAAATATGAGGAAACCAAGGCACAGAGAAGTGGGTGCTCGAGACCCCCAGCTAACAGAGTCCTCGGATTTTGCTGCAGAGCTTGTTAGAACATTGATGCCAGGCCCTCCATGACCAGGTCAGGTTCTGTTGGACACGGATGGGAGCTGGATGGCTGGATTTTAACAAGTGCCAGGTGGGGCGACCCTGACCTCTGTCCAAGATGATCTGTGAGGCCACCCCCACCTTGTGTCTGAGGACAGAGCCCCCAGGTTGCTTACCCCGTCGTACGCAGACACCTTTCTGATTTGACAGTGCTTCAGCCTATTCACTGACATCCCTCACAGGCCACAACCCTCTGGCCACACCAGCCCCCAAGGGACCCTCCCCAGAATCCCCAAGTCACTCGCTCTCTGCAACTACAAAAAAAATTCATGATGACATCAGAGCTCTTTGCACCTGCTATTCTAGAACAGGGATTGGCAAACTACAGTCCACAGGCTAAGTCTGGATTGCCTCCTGTTTCTGTATGGCCCATGAGCTAAGAATGCTTTCTACATTTTTAAATGGTTGAAAAAATGTCAAAATAGTCTTTCATGACATGTGAATATGATATGAAATTCATGTTTCATTGTCTAAATATAAAGTGTTATCGGAGCGCTCCAATTTCTCTTCCGTCCTGTCTAAGGCTGCCTTCCCACTGCAATGGCAGCGAACGCAGCAGAAACCACACGGCCCACAAAGCCTGACATACTTGCTCTCTGGCCTTTTACAGAAAAGTTTGCTGACCTCTGTCCTACAAGACCAGGATGGGAAGTTTTGCCTCATGAAAACCTCCTTCCATCTGTCTCTCACTCCTTCTCTCTCTACCTCCCTAACTGCCTCTCACTCTCTCTCGCTCTGCCCCCCCTCTCTTTCTGGGTGTGGAAAGAGAACGAA